TAATCCACTGGGATTCCTCATAGGATCTTGGGCCTCTTGAGATTTAGTGAGGGCCTTTGGTCATTCTAACATGATGGGGTCATTGGTCAAGAGGAGAGTGAGAGGTGTCCTGCTGGTCTTACTTTGACAGAGCTAGCTCTGTGCTAAATTAGCATCTTTAGAGTGCTCACTCGCCGAAATGGGCTGTTGTATCAAACCACATGATCTCCTGAGGACAACTGAGGAATGCAAACGAGTTTGATGGCTAGCGGCGCATGAGTCTGTGTGTTCCTATGACCACAAGCATACGGGTTCTTTCAACACAACTGTTTTGAACTGAAATTTGAAACATTCCCTTCCTCATGTGCTCTAGTGATTTTATCAGGTTGTCTCCATCATCATCTGTCAGCATCCCACAGTTAACATAAAGCACAGATGGATATTAAAATAGATGGAAAGGAGTTGGCCTCTGTTTGTGGCACATTATAGACACAGTCCTACTTAATAGAAGCAGATTTGTGGAATGCTTGTGGGATGGCCACCCTCAGTTGGCCTCTCTGTAACATTTATGGATGCTGATCTGTGGTCTGCCAGTGGTCAGAAATCACCCCATATCTGTTTTCACTAAGATCTCTTCCAGTAAATCAGATGTCATTGTGTTCACCTTTGGGAGAGATTGTAATTTAAGATGCACATGCAAAGCACTGAACTGTATGTACCAGGCTAAAGTCAGAGTCCAGTTGCTTGCTGTTCATGTCTTTATAGGTTTGGCCATAATGTCAGCAAGTTCAGACAGTGATTCTGAAAGCAGAAAATGTAGACCCGGCCACTTGTACTAGTCAGCGACTTTGTTTCCTCGACAGTTTAAATGACATTTCGATTTTGTAAGGCTCAGCACTTTGTTTTGTTCTGGAGCTCATACCAATATGTTAGGAGGGTAACCACAATGACAAGAGGACAACAACAAGTGGAGACAATAATTAAGCCTATAGCTGTGTAAGACATGATACAGTGCAGATCACCCTGTTGTGATGGTCGCAGGCTAACCCACAACCGCACTGTTGCTTTTGAATGGATGTGAGGCTCTGCTAAGGATGGCGGTGCTTGGGTTGAAAACATTTCTTTCTTTTTTAAATCATTTTCAGAAGCTTTCGGTGCTATTTATACTACTTTAACAAACTACTTTGTAAATGCTACAACACACTGTCAAAACTTAAATTTAGTTTTTTATAAATGTAATGTCTGTGTTCTCTATTGTCAAAATGTTGCTTTATAGCATCAAGACAATCTAAAGACAAGATAAAGAGAATGGCATGATAGCACGGTGTGCAACCCCAAATCAGAAAAAGTTGGGCTAAATTAAAACAGAAAATAGTGATTTGTAAATCATCTGTGCCCTGTATTACATTGAAAACAGTACAGCAGCACTATATTTGATACCTCATCAGATTTATTCTTTGTTCAAAATTACTCACTCCAATTCTCATGCCTGCAATACATTCCAAAGAAGTTGAGACTATGGTCTAAATAATGTGCCGCTGTATTGTTTTAAATGTAATACAGGGCACAGATAATTTACAGATCACTATTTTCAGTTTTAATTTGGATTTCAACTTTTTCTGATATGGGGTTGGAATAAAATCACAAATACTGTGATTACACACTATAAAGTGAATTTTTATTGAGCATTTTTCCCTGGTAATAATTTGTCAAAACTTTTGGAAAAATGTCAGTAGTACTAAATGGCATCAGAAATCAAAATTAGGTCAACTTACACCAATTGTTTTGTCTTAATTTGTTTTCCTCAGGTAAGAGAACTAGAAGGCATCCCCCTCATCTTGGACCACTGCAACATAGATAGCAACAATCCATGTATCCTTTGGGAACAGTGGTTGATTATCTGGAAACACATAGTTTGACATATACCGTACAAACACATGTTGCATTTTAGTCATTTTGTTTCTTATCATGCCACTGGTAGAATTAAATGTGCATTTTCTGAGTTTTCAACCAAAAGCAAGTGTCACATCAAGCTGGGATTGCTGCAGTGTATGCAAGCTGGGCAACCAAATGTGATGAAACTTGAACATAGTCTTGACAGCCACTGTAGCAGAGTCAAATTCCTTGTGTTTTCAATATGCTTGGCCAATAAAACTGGTTCTGATCTACAGTATGCCTGCAGCTTGTCAACAGTGGTTGCATTAAATGGTAAAGTGGCCTGCTTGTAAATGCTACTTTTTGTTTTGAGGCGTGTTCAAGTTTGTTTAGTACTTTGCAACTTTTGAATTGTAGCTAAAGTAGTTCTAGGTGGCACTGAGCATTTTGGTTAGGACACCACCTGAACAGTCTAATGCAATCTAACAAAATTACCTTTCACTAAATCCTATTTTGTGAAACCCTGTCTTTCTTGACACCGTGTCAAAGATTCATTCATGTGATGATTATTTTCGGGCCGCAGTGGTGTTAGATTCCATTTTGATATCCATCCATCCATTACCTATACCGCTTATTCCTGAATAGGGTCATTGGGAGGCTGGAGCCTATTCCAGCTGACACTGGGCGAGAGGCGGGGGAACACCCTGGACAGGTTGCCAGTCTATCACAGGGCTTACATGTAAACAAACACTCACACTCACTCCTAGATGCAATTTGGGAGTAAGCTGGAGTACCTGGAGAGAACCCACACAGGAAGAACATGGAAACTCCACACAAAAAGACCCAGAGGCAGCCTGGGCTTGAACCTGGAACCGTCTTGCTGTGAGGTGAAAATACTAACCACTGCACCGCTGTGCCACCCACACCACCAACTATGGCCTTGAAAAGGACCATGAACTTGAATCTCTGATGCATTGTCAACAAAAAAACAGAATAGTAAAACCGAAGCGTGACAAAGATATGACTATTATTATTATTATATGCTATGCATCATATGCATATGATGCGTTCTTTGTGTCTTCTTTATGATGGTTTTGACAGGATTTGAGGTGGATACCAGTTTCTGTTTAATTTGGTATGTGTTATTGGTCTTTGAGCTCCGACCCCTGAGTCATTCTCATCTCCTCCCCCTGCTGGGCTTTCTGCTGCCATTTGGTATTAGCTTTTTAAAGTGGGAGTCCAGTGCCAAGCCGTCTTTTACCCAGTTCAATAGTCTGATTCTGAGGTTGTCAGAGAAAAGGTGTTTATGCAGGAAACTTGAAAGGGGTGAGCTTAGTATCTTTTCTCTCACAAAACAACCTATCTGCAGAATTCATTTGGTTGTTGGGCTGTCTGCGCACTCACAGACCTGAGGCAAGCACTGACATTCTGAGTTGGACTTTGAAAATGTTAAAGCACTTTACTGAACCAAAAATTTATTCACTTTTTTTTAGTATGTTTTAAAATATTTGGCTTATTTGTTTTTCCTATTCAGAAAGCCTACTAGTTCTGGAAAACATGCCTAAAAAATAGTCAAATACAGAAAAAAAAAAAACATGGTGCATTTCATTCTCTAGAATTGAAAAATCAGATGTTTCTGTCCTTAATGAATGCCTTTAGTCATTAGTCAATGGGCCATCTTCGCCATCAGGAACCTCTTAGAACACAACACCCAAAACCAGGAGCTGATTGCTGCACTGGAAAGTCATGGCACTGCTGACTATTCTGCTCTCAGGGAGTTGGGTTTCCTGGTGGAAGAACGTGATGGAAGCTTGCTGCTCAAAGGTGTGAGGAAGGACTTGTAAAAACCTGGGAGAAGCAGCCAGGAGAACAGAGGTCCTCAACTTGTAAGCAGGTTTTCATATCAAGTAATTGTTGAGGAGGGAATAAAGTACACGTACACACATATACACTTGATACGAGTGAACGTGTCCTCTTGTTGTGCTACAAGCCTCATTAATGCAACGCTTCATCTGCGAGTGAGTAACCCATCTATTATCAAGCACATAGGCATAGTTTCTGTCCAGAATAACTGACAGCCACGCTGCTCATAGATTAAGCAATAAAGCACTTTTGAATTAGCTGTTTCTATCAGAGAAGTATTTAGAACTTGCTGTGCTAGCACTCATGGCCAGATGGGGCTTAAGGTATTCTTGATACACAAGGCCCACACAGTCCCCGATATCAAAGCAAGGGTCAAGACATCAGGAGTTCCTACTTTGTCTTGACCTGAGCTTGGGAAATGAAGAGTTTGGAGGAGGCAAGCACATGCTGGTAACTTTTGGCAAGGCTGATGCTTTGTGCTTTAATCCAAAGACAAAGAGCACCACAGTGCCAGGGCCTTTCACCTTTCACTGACATTGATGTTACCGGCAGGGGTTGGGATTTAATGCTAGCCCCATAGTGACTTCTCCAGTAACCATGAAATAGAGCATGGTCAAAACATGGTGTAAACAACCCCCTCACTGCCTTACGTAATTAAATTGTGGTGTCTCTGCAAGAGACCTTTTCCCCCTCAGTCATACACTTATTTTAACTGGCCTAATATTATCATCAAAATGCATCTAAGTGAAAAATGCAATACTAAAACTAATAACTAATGCTATGCATGATGCTATACATGTACTAAACAGGATAATCTACTATGTGGTTTGAATTTGTCACTGGATGTGCCTGCTTTTGCAGTGCTTCTTGTATTAAGGTTATAACAGCAGCATTCTAGTGAATTACATTTTATTCTTCTTTATTCAACTTTTATATTTATTACACAGTACTATAGATAAATAAGACTTGAGAACTTATGGCATGCATCATAGATAATTAACCATCTCGAAACTCTCAGCATTAGACCACTTCACTCTAAGTGACCTATATTTGAGTTTTACCAGATTGCTTAGACTTTGTTAGTATTTTAGTAAATACTGTACTACCTACCTAGCTGTGTGTTGTATGCGTGTGAATGTGCTGCGCCTTTTGATAAGCGATAGTGATTTTGGATCAGTAGACAATGGATAAGAGCGTACTGAAAGTGTGCACCCGGAGACTGAGTGAATGAATGAGTAAATCAGAGCAGAAGCTTTAGTTTGCAGAGTGACATCCCTCTGTGCTCCTTCTGTTGCTGGATAAGCTGAACGGTCCTGACACCTCAACAATGTGGCGCTTTACGGGCCTTCCCACACCCTGCTGCACCCTGTTTGCCCTGCCTCTGATTTTTATTGACAAAATGTATTGAAACAATCGTCTGGGCTCTCCCCTCAATCCGCTGCCATAGTGAAGGGAGCTTATGCAGTTCCGGTCCCCAGGATTTCAGACTGCTAACAAAACCACTGTTACTCGCGCTCGAATGGCTGGCTGCAATGCTTTTCAGCCCCACAGGAACGAAGCTGTACAAGCTGGCTAGGCTGAATTAGGTGACATGGCCGCAGCTGTCTGTTCACCTCTAAGTATTATCACCACATCAGTCAAGGCAAGTTCTGGTGTGTCTTATGTCAATGTTTTATTGCATAAACTTCTACTGTATTGTATTTGTGCCTTCTGGCTTGATACTTAACTAAATCAAAAACACTTTGTCAGGCTGTAAATTATAAGCTTCGTGTTTGGGTTGAATAATATGTTTCTATAATGCATAATAAAGAATTGTGTGTGTGACAACTTTTTGTAATGATTTTAATAAGGCCAGTAAAGGCCAAATGTGACAAAACTCAAAAGGCAATAAAAGGATGCTCAAATTTTATTGGTAAAAAAAAAGAAAAAGTACAACATGTAGTCTTTGTAAGTAATGCCTAAACTTAAATTAGCTGTATTTTAAATTCTAACAATTGAAACTTTTAGGAAGCAACTAGTAGCTCCTAGTTACTGAAAGGACTTAAAACAACTTGAAAGAGAATCTCATTAATCTAAGGCTGAACAACTGGTTGGTTATAGAAATTTCCAATGTGCCATCTATATACAACTTCCAAGTCTTTATTATAATGCATGAGGTCTCCTGGACTTTCCTACATTTAGACTCATTCAGCATTTATGAACTACTTTGAGTTGTTAATAGATTGTGTCATGATGGATAATCTGGCCTACTTCGATAAAACACGTGGAATATTCACGATACAGAAACTTTGATCAAAGACAAATTCAAAATTTATAGCTCTCAAATCTGAATACAATGACATTAGAAAACACTAAATATAGGCTTTCTTTCCATCCATAAATGACATAAAGTGCCACGTTCCTCATACAAAAATATACTCTTCAAATTGTTTTGTAAGCTATTTAAAGCCTAAATAAACCTTTCTGAATACATTAAGAGTGCTGTCCAGAAATAGCTTTGAGGCCTTTGATCCTGTCATACCCACTTCTGTGTGGTTAGGGTACATACCATCCACCCAGGCAGACCTAAACCGCACTGGAAGGCCTTGTGTAAGCAGAGGCCACAATGTGGAATTCTGTGTCTCTGCCGTTCATGGGAATGTTGGATGTTTCCGAAACTGATTGCACCTCCAATGGGGCTTACATGGGTTTTTCAGATGTCGAGAGTACTCCGAAAACAAAACAATAACACGGTCAGGATTGAAAGTGCCTTTAAACTGACAAGTTGGATCCTTAAAATAGTTTGACTGTTTTCTGCCACTTTGGCACAACAAAGGATCTGGGCCCTGGGGGAACGTGGCCATGAGTAGTTCAGCACCCAACAGCACAATCCACCAGATTACTGATGTTCCATAAAAAGAGAGAGATGTGTCTAAGTGCAGAAGAAAAATAGCTAATCTATAGCAAAATAATCCACAGACAACTGATGATGAATAAAAATGAGAAAAGGTGAAGATTTAGCTGTTCAGTGACTAAATGCGGCTCCATATTACTATAAATGTGTTACTCCCAGCATGAAATGAATCAGTAGCAACTGAAGATCATAAACGATCATAACAGAGGAAGAAAATGAATTTGTTCTCTATCCTATGAGACCTTTGAAATGGAAAGATTTTTACATAAATAATTTTGCTTTATTTTCAGTGTTCAAACAGTATACAGTGTGAGTGTACAGTTAAAGGTATTCCACTGCCATTTTTCAGTCTTCGCCAGGAGCCAGTCTTCTTTTGTGAAAATCTAATGCACTTTGCTCTTGTAGCATTTTGCAAATGTCTTCTCAAGATCCAACAATAGTCCTTGCTGCTTCTCCTCTTGTTCATAACATCTGTAAGCTACATTTTTACAAGATGTAGTCTTCAAAATATTGCTTTGTTGAAAGCAAAAGTTCTTTCATCTGCAACATCCTTTGCCATGTCATAGTTTTGTAGCAGTACAGAAGCAAATATGTTTATGAAAATTATGCTTTTCTCCAGACTCTTCAAACCTCATATTCCATGTCACATCAGTTTCTTGTCTTTAAAGACGTAGGATGTTAAACTGTGCAAAATGCTGAATAAATACTAAATACTTTCACATCCTTCAACTTCAAAATCCAACTGGTCATATGCCCTTATTCTCCACCCTACTCTCCAGTCATTCATTGTTCCCTACTTGCAGGTGAAAACTTCTGATTTCTCATTACAGGTGTTGCATTTGACAAAACAGCACCAGTGGAACTTGCAGTTGCACTGCCAGACACGTGTGTAGTGATGTGTGTTGTAGCCCCGCCCACAGCACATCACGTTACAACTGTCTGTATGGGTTGAGGTGCCGTTGCACAGTCTGCCTCTTGTCCCTGTGCTTCCTGTAGCTGTGTCCTCCTCACAGTAATTGGGTGACCGCTCCAGGTAGACCAGGTCTGTGTCTGTTGGCTTCTGGTAGCCCCGAACCTCTTTGAGACGTAGGAAGGAGGGCTGGCGGAGCCTTGAGGCTCTGACTGGCTCCACTTGAACTGCTTCACTGTAGCGTTCCTTTAGCAGGTAGCCAATCTCTCTGAATTTTGGCAGCATAATCCAGCATGTCTTAGTGGTGCAGGAACCAGATACGCCGTGACACTTGCACTCCAGCTTCATCCTCTCCTCTAGAATCTAATGCCATAGAAAGTAGAGATTTGTAAAAATTAAAAAAAAAAGACTGAAACACTGCTTGAATTTGAAACAGTTTATAGTAATTGCAAAGCATTCAAATCTGTCTCTTTTCCCAAGCTGGGTTTTCTGCGGACACTTTAACTTTCAGCACACCAACCAGTATGCCAACTTCATGTCAGAAACCTGGGGAAAATAACTCAAACCCTACAACTGTAGTCTCTAATTATCTTTACCTTTCTACAGGCCACATAATGGTGTGACAGCCCAAGAAACCTGACCAGAGCTGTTGTGTAACCATACATGTGTAGAGTTACACTGCGGTTTAAGCCTGATTTATATTATAATACCATACAAATATTTACAAATGACAAAACTGACAGGTGAATGGTTGCCCTAGTGGCCAAGCTTGATGTTGATATGGGAAAATGATCACCCCATTTTTTAAAGCAGACCCTGTTTCAGTATCATTTTTGAGTGTCTACGTATGTAACAGTCTTGTAACTTGTTTGTCCAAAGTTCTAGTCAGGAGCTCTTTCTCTTCATGGCTATCACATTTTTGGAAAGGGTACAGTACTCTTGTCTCTGGTTGGTTCAGTGTGTGCGGCGGTGCAGAAGTCTTTGGTGCCACCACTGAGAAAGGACAAGAGGAAGATTTGCAATAATATCTTCTACCCTCACTTGGTAATTCATTGTGTTACTGTTGATGCATAGTGATTCAGTGAAAGGACTGTAGAGCTATGGCAGAATCACATTTGGCAGCTCTATCTAAGTGTTGCATTTCTGTCATGTATGCACACACTTGCATTTGTGTTTGCAAATAACTTACACTGAAGCACTCTGTTCTGCAGGAGCTTTGTTTAATTTGTGCATACTCATATTGCTTTAATCTGAATTTGCTGCATTAACTTCTAATCATGTAAAGTAATTTAAGATAATGTATAAAAGTACACTTGGTCCGATTGTTTTTACTTGCCTTACCTTTCGTCCTGCCTCATTGTTGTGCAGGTTCATTAGCCTGCGGGCATTTTTCTTAATTTCTCGGGCATCTACAAAGCGCCGTGAGAACTCCACGCCGTACTTGACATCAGCCGAGCACCCTCCCCACTTCCAGCCTTCCTCTTGGTCGTGGTAGCCCTGCTTCTCACGGTCACAGCCACACTGGCTCAGGTTTCCTTGGCTACAAGCTGCAGTCACTGCGTGGGCAACTCCAGCTGCAGTGATGGCATAAGTGAATGCTGCCTCCCTGCTGCCTAAAGGGAACAGAGAAGAATCCCAAGAAATTTGGGGTGAAAAGTAAAGTAATATCATCCAAGTATTGTCGACTTTGGACTGAGTAGCTTTTTCTTGTACTTTTTTGTAGACATTCACACCACTTTGATCAGAAAGGCAAGAAATGCATACCTGTCATACATTTATATTGCTGTGGCACAAGTAGGAGGATTTTCCTTTTTCAAAGACTGTGTATGCTTTCTTATTAAAGGACTACTTCACTGAATTTTACACAAGGGCAGTTTACTTGACATGAGAAGTGCTACTCCATCTGTGAAAACAGTTAGATAATGTCTTCTGTGAAACCACCCTGGTTACATCATCAGGGCTATTTCAACTTGGTATTGAGACTTATAATCTTTAGCAGAAAGCCTGCATTACAAACTCGGAATGAAGGTTTGTAAGAAGTGGCCATTAGATCGTCAGGGTGTCAAATGAAAGATGCTACTGAATTGCATTATGGGAAACATAGGCTGCAGCATCACTTGACCCATATGAGTAACTAAAAGTCAGGATATCTGCTTCTACCACATGCATTGACCATTCTTTCTTATAGAGCCCTGCACAGCCACACAGGTTTTTTTTTAACTTTATCTAACTAATTAGTCCTTTGCTCTGGTAGATGTTATGCTGGAACTACATGATGTCCCCAAACATAATGAACCAATAACAATAATGAAGCTGTAGCTACTCCCACCTAAACATGTGCAACAAAACTAATAAGAGGGATAGAGAGATGTCCACACTAGAACAATTTGTACGCTCCCATACAGTCCTAAGAAGTCCAATTAGACAACATACTCTAAGTGAGAACACCTTTGTGGGTGGACTATAGGTGTGCACAGCCTTTAACCCATCTGGGGTGCCCCAGTAGCCAAATGGTATAAGGGAATTGCAAGCCCATGGTTTGATTCTGGATGAGGAACTTCTTTGCATGTCATACGTCTCCCTTCACCCATTTCCTTCTGGCCTGACTCTATTCACAACAAAGTCCAAATGCCAATAAAAAAAAAATGCTTATAGTAATACTTGTAGTATTTTAGTAGTATTGCACTTATTGAAGTGAAAATTTCTAGACTCCACGTTTAAGAAAAAAAAGCCACCTCTTTGGAGTGCAACACTGAATTGGAGAGGGATTGCTTCATGGAGTATATTGATATTGAATCTCTGTGGTCATTTTATTATGGACTGTACATGTAAACCTGTAACTAATTACCTGTTACTCAGAGTAGTTTTCACAGTAGCAGATTTTGTACTTTCACTTCAGGGAGTTTCATTAATCTTAGGCCCAATCCAATTTCTTATTTTACACCCCTATCCCTCTTTTTCAAGTGTGCCCTTGTGACCTCATTTGTGAGTTAACCTTCAAAAGAGAGTTACGAGGAGTAGTGGTTGAGATCTTCCCCTGTGAAATGGGGCAACCCTTCAGGACCTCTATGTGTAGTTACATAGTAGTTAATAACAATGGTTAAGTAAACAGGCGTGATGAATTGTTGTTGGACATTTTGAAACACACAGTGCCATCTTCAGCTGTGGTGATTTCTCTTGCGTGGTCTATAAGCATCAGTTTGAGATTTTCAACTGCAAATTTAAAGAATGAAAGGAAAGGAATAGGTTTTTGACACCAGGGAATGTTGTTGGATTTGTTTGAGGTGTGTAGCATCGACTGCAGATACGTTTTGTTGTAGTTAACCTCATACCACTTGGTTTTGAGTCTGCCTCTGAAAACCCTCTGTTTGAGGATCTATTGTATGTAGCTCTACCACTTCACCCTACCCCTCCATCCTAAAGAGAATCAAGACACCCCTGAGGGGTAGGGCTAACTGGTAGGGGCAAGGGGTGAATTGGGCCTTACTTTCCCTTTATTTATTAATGTCATGTATCATCTTAACAACTAAGAGGTTCTAGTACTTTTCGACCTTGATTTTATGAGGCCGATTATAGGGCTAAGTGTCAGAAATTGACTTTGAGGAGCATTAGTAAAAAGACCATTTTTCAGAGCACCCACAGTATATAATCTCAAAATTGTTTTTCTCCTTATGTCTTGCATCTCTACATCATCTTCCTGTTAGAACAATAATCAGTTTAAGTGGAGAACACAAAAGTGACATCTACTGGCTGACTGGAGGAGCTTTTTCTGGATCAGCACTCCTTCAGCTGCTGTGTCTCAGTATTTTTCATCAATGGAATTTCTCATGCAGCTTAAGTGTCATTCTGTTTCTGTCTTAGGCAGTCCACATTCTTACAGCAAATGATAGTGCTGTGATGCATGTTGAAATAATCTGTGGCCAGGCTTGACTCAGATGTGCCCATATTCAAGTTTTTGTAAGTCACCATTGAACTTCAGAATAAACACATTTATATTTATGGTGTAGAGGGGGAAATTAATTTATTGGCACTACAGTTGGTAATAGGATATCCTTCCTGTCCAAACAGGATAATGCTGGGCCTTCGTTTTTCTCAACAGCCCAGAGTATTAATGCGTGGCGTCTCTGGTGGAGGCGATTCTAATGGCTCCCTTCCAACCTGACAAACTCACTCGCAGAAGCCATTGGGCCTGCGGTTCCCCCTGGTTCATAACTTACAACAAACTCTGAAGTCTTCTCTCATCAGGCTAAATCCACAAGCCATTCAGATGTATTGTATAGTGAGCATTTCTCAAGGCATCAAGCGTATGCAATAGCCAAACAGCCATCTCCTCGCACTATGATTTGTTTTGATTGTACGGCTGTGCATGCAGGGTTCTATTGTTGCCATCCAGTTGCTGGAGCTGACTTCAATTAGTGGTTTGCATGAATCTCTCTGGTCTTTCTCAATGCTTAATGAGTTCACAGGCCCAGCAAGTCAATCAAATGAAGTGGTGGATGATACATTAGTGATTTAAGAGGGGCTATAGCCCTGGCTTTGATTTCCATGTTTAAAAAAAGCTGAAATGGACAAGAATGGGAAGAGGAAAGTGATCCATCTTACTCTGAATCCATGAAGATCCTTGGAAGCCTGACACATTCTACAACATTGGTTATAACCCTCTGATTAGTTTTTATACAGATCTAATTGGGTTTAGTTTAGCTTCATCTCTTTATGTGCTCCAAACATGAGAAACAAAACTGGGTCCAAAGCGTCTCTCAGAGCTCGTTTGCACACCACAAGAGAAAAGAGACATTTCCTCTGACAAAAGAAATAAAGGGATCCAGACATCTGTCTGCCTGTCTCCCGTGCAGAAGAAAGTGATTGCTCCCAGAGTTGCTAGATTAAACATGGATCCAAACCCACAGCAAGACCGCAACAAAACATTTCAGACTGAAGTACAATTTATATAAGAGGCTCACATTAAGAGCAAACAGGCTTCTGTGAGAAATAAAACGGTGAAAAATGTTGACTAAAACCAAAAAGATGTGTTAGTTTCTGTTTACAACTGGCTAATATAAAAGCTTTCACAGGATGACACACTCAGATACACCTGCACAAGGAAGCCTTCACACTATTTATGCCTGCCTTGCTGTGACAATGTGTGTTGCAGACATGATGATGTCACACATCAAATACAGACTGAATCTTCTTTGGGGACCCTAACAAAGCCTTTTGAGTTGGAATTTTTCATGTCATCATCTCAGCAAGGCAGAGAATTTATTGTGGTTGTTGCATATGGGGTTCCTCAGAACTGCCTTCATTAAATTGCCGCCACTCATCTCAAAGTCTGTTTCATGACAATCTATGCTGCAGCTTTTACTTATGCCACTTGAGGAGGGCAATATAAGAGAAATGAGAAGGCAGGCTCATGTTAACCCACAGAGCTGAATGGCACCTGAACTGTTCATTCGCTCATAGCACTTTTCTTTTAACTTCTGAAGTCAGGCCACAGCTCAGTTTGGTTTTCATAGTCTCATTAACACACCTGTTGACACATATCAATCCACACTTGTGCCTCAGTGCTAAAGCTTCCAACTGTCATTTTACTTTATTTTGATCTGACTGGTATTTGTGAAATGTCTGTGTATACAGGTCAATGATTCACTTTATCTGTTGTTTACAAAGGTCAAAACTAGTTTTCCCCCCTGGGCACTGGTGTCTGTAGGTTTAAGGTCATGAACTGCAACATCCCCAGTTTGAATCCAGCTGTGGACCTTTGTTTCATGTCACTTCCCATCTCTCTCTCCTCATCTTCTGTCACCTATCTGTTGTTAAAATCTCTAATATAGACTGAAAATGCCAAAAACCTTACATTTACCCCCCCAAAACCATTTAACTATTAAACATTCTTCCCCTCACTCAGCCTGATTGCCTGCTGACCTACGTGAGATAAAAACATTTACAACTCCTCAAAGAAAATTAAAGACTCCGACTTTCAAACAGACTGACCTACTCTCAGCTCTTGTCCAAAAACAGTCCTCTCACCCAGGGCTGAGCAGTTCCACCGGCCATAGCGGAACTGGAATTGACACTCATTGATACCTAGCTGGGCACCTTTGCCAATGATGATGATGGCATCAGGGCGACTCTGACACAGGGCTCTCTGACGGGGGGCCAGTCCCGGGATCTTGTTGCAGATAATGTTCGCACCAAGAGCTACCACAGAGGACAGAGCCCTGTAAGCAGAGAGAAAGAGAGAGAGGGAGATTAATGATACAAGTAAGAACATGAGATCAGATAAGAAAAAATGGAAGACAAAAATATACCTACTAAAGTATAGTTTGGATTTAACTGTTCCCCGTTTAGCATTACTTCACTATGATTAGAGCAACAAGTGATAAAATTAGTTTTATCACAATACATGTTGCCAGTTTATAATAATAAAGAGAAACATAAAAATAAACAAGACTGAATGAGAAGATACAGTAAGAGAATCCTCTGCACCATTCATCCTTACCCCAGCTCACATCGTGTGTTATTTATTGGACCTCCATAAAGACATGAAAGAGACCAATAGTTAATCATAGAATTGGGTCAAAATCCAGTTAATTTCTGTCTGCCTGTCTCTCTCTTTGTTACATAAAACATGAACCACCACAGCTATTTTCATTTCCAGGACCTGCCCTTGTTATGAATGAGAGGCATGTATGGTGCAGTGATCATTCTTTCTGTGAGGGCCTGGGTCTTTTAATGTCATAAGAAACATCTCATTACACTGGCATGGTAATAGAGAATGAAGTAGTCTAGTCTTATCTTTTTCCATATGCTCCTCAACTGTTGTTGATGAGGTTCACCTATGTCAAAGTGGTTGTAATGTTGCACACATATTAGAACAAGTATAAATCGTGTAGATTAAATATTGGCTTCACCCAAGTCCTCAGTCACTGTTTGTAAGCTGTCCATTTTGGAGTTAGGGTATTTGAATGAATGAAAATGACACAACCTTCTCTCACTGAGAAAAAATCTACAGTTCTTGTTCTTTGATAGTCACACCAAGCAAAGTGTAACCACGAGAACGATTAAAAATATTACAGTTTACTTAATTTGGCAAAATTAAAAGTTGAGAGAGAGATGGTGTGCATTTTTCAACAATCACATTATGCGTTCTACGTGCAATCTAACTCGACTATCCGATTTTCCTGTGCCTATCTGGACATTTTGCACGTAAGAAATTACAATCTGAACCTGCCAGCCGAGCTTAAAATTAGATTGACGAATGTTCCGATTTAATAAGCTTACAGGAAACTTACAAGTAGCTACCGCTGGTGAGGATGAGGAAGATCTGTGGGTAGTAGACGGACAGCAGTGCACTGCGAGACGAGATGATGAGCATGGCTGCGCATTCAGCAGAACTTCTACTGCACTCTTCAGAGTTGAAAAACAGATTTAAATAAAAAGGATGAGACGTGAACAAACAAATCCTTTTCTTGTGAAGTCCAAGAGTTAAAGGAGCTTCGTGTCCTCCTCCCGCCGCTGGTTGTCTTCAGCTAGTGCTGCCGTGCCGCGCAGGCAGCTCCATGCTCCGCTGTGGTTGTGTTAGAGATGACAGGCTGCATCCCTCTCTCTGCCAGCTGGGATGATGGAGCACTGAGTCGAAACAGGTACAAGGGCCGAAGGCAGTAGGGGTTCGATACGTGCTGCCCCCCCCCCTAAAAACTGTAATCTAAAGATTACCACATAGAAACACTACACACTCTTAAGCGTGATAGTGAATAACCATAAAGTAAGCCACACTGGGCACTGGAAAAATACTGCATAATGGGCATTTCTAACTTTGACATTGACACTGTACTCCTGGGGTTTCAGTGGGCCAGATGCCTCAGTTCAGTCAGTTGAACAGACTCTGTGGTCTGTCATCTCATGCTGTATGTTATGCTGGTGTATAACTAACAAAACGCCCTCATGTGGTAGCATGAAAGAAAATGTTGTCATTCCAAAATATCCAACTAAATGTTGGTGCTAGAATGCATAGCAGATGGTGCAGGGTCTGCAAAGTTAGAGTTGATTAAGTTCTAATTTTTGATGATGGAGGAGGAATGTTGTGAAAACATCCCCTTTTTGAGCTTTGTTAGAAGAGTTGTCCCATTTTTCTGTTCTGGTGAATAGTCTTGTTAAACCCATGTAGTGTTTGAAGTGCCCATGTGTAATCAGAAAGACCAACACAAAAGGAATTTTTGCCGTTTCTTCCTCTAGAGATGTTCTCTGTAAACAGTGCTCTGTTTGCTGTGGAACTTTGAAGTCAGTAAAAAAATTTCAAGAGACCTTCAAAGGATGGGACATTTTATAGGTTTACTTCACAGAGTGCACCAAGGGCAAAGTACCTGTTTCCTTTTCTTGTTATTGACATTTTGGAGAAGGAAAATTTAGAAATCTTGAGCTCTACTTGAAATGAACAAATAACCAAAAGATCAAATGTGTGTTCCAAAATGAGATGTCAGTCATCTGAAAAAAATGGAGACATTCTCTTAGAGAATTTTTAATGGCAGTATTATTGACATGAACCTTTTAATTTAAATTCTCAGCAGCTGCCAACAAAGCAGTGATTTGGAGTGTAAAAGAATAAAATACCTTTCATTCTTTGGCTGGTATAAGACTGGCCTGGTCTGTATGCCCACTCACACTATCAGATATACCTAGTGTTGTAAATGTGAGAAGCACCTTTGCACTACATTGATCCATCTTGGCTGTTGAAACCTCATCACAGGAACCTAATCTGTAGCTGTTCCAGTGATAACAATTCACTGATAATGTCTCCAGCTTGGGGTCAGAATAAGCAAGAACCCTTTTGTATGTGTGTTCTCTATGCCTCTTACTCAGTTTCTCTGTCTCTTGTTTGCACCCTCTCCTCTTTCTGTCCAAATCATTCTCCCAAACCACAACTTTCAATGCCAAGATAGCACTTAAGCAGTGAGCACTCACTGTCCTGGCAGTCACACAGCGATATCTGTTTCTTTTCATATTTTTATGCAGAAGAAGAGTTGAACAAGGAAACTGCACAGGAATTCTTCATACACTACCAAGCAGGACATCAGTTCAGTGATGACTGTGGCTGCATAACTGACATGACATGAGCTGTGAGAGACGGTTTTGGTAGCATCAACTGCATTATATAGATGAGTGACAGGGCTGCCAACAGAAGAGGGAAAACTGGAACTGTGTCATAGAGGGGTCTCAAGCTGGAAGTAGGGCTAAACAGTCCACATAAATAGGGGTGTCTTATGGCTCTGTGGGATTGTAGGTCTCTCTTGTCCTTGAGCCCAGAATCCTAAGCAGGGTTCCTAAGTGGTTGTTGAGGAAACAGGTATTGTTGAGGATAATAGTAAACATCTGATAATTCATCATAAGTGACACTTTGTAATCATTTATTTTTAGGATATTTTAGCCTTTATTTATTATTTACAAAGTGGCTCGCAGAGAGGACCTGCAACAAAGGTTGGTGGCCAGATTTGTACCCCTCATGTCACCCACACACTGTGCCTGCACGTGTGGTGCACTGTACTGTAACTGTTCAGTACCCCCATAAGTGACACTTTTGTTTACAGTTGCTGGTTCATAAAAGTGTGCAGGTGAAAGAGTCAGGCATGACAATCCCATCCACACTTAGTCAAAAGTGGAAGAGAATGTGCTGCACTTCATGAAATGTCCATGAATAGAGGTAGGGAGAGAAAATAATACGCCATGGTATTGTGATATTTTGAGTTATAGAACTGTGTGAAAACATAGATGATACAGCTTCTATTACATTAGAATGCACATTAAACCTCAGCCAGGGGTTTGCATTATCTGATCGCTATCAGCTGCTTCATTCATGTTTCACAGTCAGTGGCTCATTCACTGCTGACTAGTAACGTCCATCACACTCATGCACAGCATGACCATGATAATCTAACGCTTCTTACTACAGAGGTACAAATATTCACTCATTCATCACAGAAGGCTTTATGACTGGCCCATCTCCAGTCTGCTCCAGCAGTTCACCACTGTTCAGCTTTGACCAATGCACTGTGTTTGGAACTGAACAAGTTTTTATTCCTGTGTGCTTTATAATTATATTTAGTACATTATCACACAACGTGCCAGCTGTAATGTCACTCACATTTACTTTTTATAGTCTTCAGTGGCTCTGATTAATGTTTATCACCTACATAATACATGTGACGGAACAATTTCATAGGACATAAATGTAATGTGAACTTTACTACCAACATATTTAGCTGCTGCAGTTGCCTCCATCACCCCAGTCTTTATCTTATGCACAAAGTTTTAGAATTTTTGACTTACCTCAGATTTAATGTTTATGTGTGTTGGATGTTTTTATTTAATAAATATTCCAGTGTGTAATGTCCTGTAATGTCTTTTTGGCAGTGTTTCGGCTGTGTTCTGATAAAAACAACCACATTAAGAGTATGACAGAGCTGATTTTTAAAGTGTTCTTTTAGGGACATAATCAAGATTCAAAAAGAAAAAATTGAAAATGTATAGTATATTAAAATGACATTTAAAATGCCACCAGCTGTTTAAATTTGATACTATACTGTGGAATAAAGTAGATTCATAATGACCCTGAAAGACAATTTAGTTGTCAAACTGCAAACATAGCTTAAAGAATATCAACGAATAATAAATGAAAGAATACTCAATGCACAACTGCCATCATCAGTATTACTGTGTCAGGTTTGCCCGGCTGCTCCTGCCTCTCTCACTTGTCTCCCTCTATTTTAGCTCCCTTACCCCTGATTTCTTTATCTGACACACCTGCTTCACGTCCCCTGAATCACCACCAGCTGCACCTGATTAGTTTCTTCCTATTTATACCGTGCTCATTGGCTTCTCCGGACCACGGACCTCCACAACTCCACATCACTCCACCACGCACAGTCTCCCATTAACTGTTTCTCTGACTTTGTCCCCTCAGCAACCAGCCACCACGACCAGTCCAGGAGTGAATCCTAGCGTCCGCAGCCCGGCCTCTTCCTTATCGTCCCATCACTAACTGTATGTTTTCCAAGACTGCCGCTCGACACCCGGTTCTGCTCCATATTCCTTCACCTGGTTGTACACATATTTATTGTCACTGTAAATAAATAGAGCACTTCTTGCACCGAAGTCAGCTACCTAGGTCCGTCATTTTTTACTCGCTCACCTCCCTACCAGAGCGATCCTAACAGAAAGAACTGGCCATTATGGACCCTGCTGACTCCGGTGTAAGTAATTCTTCATCGAATGCACAACTGGCTCAGGCACTGCAGCAGCAACAACACCATCTGGCTACGCTCACACAACAAGTAGCACAACTTACCACCCTCCTGCTGGCCCAACAAAGTCACCCTGCCACCCGTTCGACCAGTCCCCTTCCTGATCCTCCCATACCTGAACCGGACATTTTTGATGGAACTGTGGAGAAATGCAGAGGGTTTTTGCTGCAGTGCCGCCGGGTGTTCGAGCACCAACCACGGACATATCGCACAGATAGAGGAAAAAATCAGCTATGTCATCAACCGACTCTGAGGTAAAGCGCTTTCCTGGGCCGAGGCTGCGGACTCCAGTGGCTTACTCATCGGCACCACCATCACTGAATTCCTGGACGACTTGAGGACGGTTTTTTCGCCATCATCTCAGCAGAGCCAAGCATCTAGGCAGCTTCTGACTATTAGCCAGGGGGCTCGAGGAGTCCTGGATTATTCCATTGCCTTCCGGGTCCTTGCTATGGAGGCCGGCTGGGAGGACCGCCTATTACGTGCAGCCTTCTGGCACGGCCTCAACGAGAACATCAAGGCTGAACTGAACATGAAGGACGAGCCCCCTGACCTTAGCTCCCTAGTCGACTTGGCCATCCGGATCGATCGTCA